TGGCCTTTCCATCAAATGGGATACTATTTGGCCATAAAAGGAAAGAAGCACTGATGCATGGCACACATGGATGAACCTAGAAAAACATGCTCAGGGAAACAAATCAGACACAAAAGACTACATTTTCAACGATTCCATTCCTATGAAATATTCAGAATAGGTAAATCCATAGAGATAGAAAGCAGATGAGTGGTTGCCAGGGCTGGAGGCAGAAAGAATGAGGAGTGACTGCTTAATGGCTAAGAGGTTTCCATTTGGGGCAATGGGAGAGTTCTGAAGCTAGGTAATGGTAATGATTGAACAACATTGTGAATGGAGTAAATACCACTGAAGCTTTATTAAAATTAATTTCATGCCATGTCGACTTTACCACAAATTATAAAAAAAAGAGGAAGGCCTCTGCACTAACACAATGCTCCTTGGCTCCTGCACCTTCCACGTCTCTGCTTCGATGGCATCAGAACTCAATATCCTGGTCTTAAATTTCTTAACTGGGCTCAGACCTCTGTAGGCCAAAAGCTGACAGTTAGGGGCTAAAATGGGCTTATGCAGCAAGCATAGGTGAAAGGCCTGGGGATATAGTTCAGTGTAGAGCACTTGCTTAGCATGTATGAGGAAGGCCCTGGGTTCCATCACAAGCACTAACCCTTCCCCACCAAAAAGAAAAAAAGAAAGAAAAGAAAAAAGTGAAGGAGAGAGAGAGGAATTGAGATGGCTTGTAAGTAAACATGCAGTGCCTCTCCCCAGCTGGAGAAGCATGTTTTGTAGTTAGCTCAGGACAGAGAAATTCTCTGGGAAAGAGTCCCTTGGGTTTGGATGATCCATTGAGGTCAGTAGCATCAGTAAATCCCCTATTTCTAAGTCGAGATTCTTGCTCCAACCCCTTACTAACAGAGATCGGGCCCCTAAGTTGTAGTTCAGACTTCAATAGCTCCTCTTAAAGTCAATCAGCATTCAGAGTTCCCTGCCTATTCCAGCCACCTGAGAGTCTCCAGAGCCTTGTGTTTGCCATACAGAAACTTCAATTTCAGTTTGTTGGGATGTTATGCTTAAAAAGAAACATACAAATGACACATATGCCCAAATATAGTCATTTATACTGTACACGTGGTCTGATACATATCCAGGCATTCTCTCTGTCTCTTTTTCTCCCTTCCTCTCTCCCTATAAAGCCACTTCTGACACACCTTTGTCTATCATTGCCTCACAGCACCCTCATTACTTTCTTCTGAGCGAGTCTACTGTGAAATCTCTCTTGTCTTTAGAGGGCTGCGAACCTAGTCTACTTGGCCAACAATGGGGGTTTGGGTATTCACAGGAGGGAAGTGCCACGGTACCGAATAAAGCTGTTCATTATAGAGCATGGGTATACTAGTAAGAGACTAAGAGAACCAGAAAGCCAGTTGGCCTGAGTGCCAAGTGCTCTCTGGAGGGAAAATGAGGTTCCTTGGTTACCTTTGATTTCCTACCTTCTTACTCAATAGGAATTGTGCATACCTTTTGCTGGCCTTTTATTGGTGTCCATGTCAAACTTCCAACAAGAGTGTCCAAAATTAAGCATTTATAGTAGCCTTCCAGACTTCTTTGGAAAGAACAATATATTTAAGTCATGTTCTTTCTATTCTTTATGCCCCCTTTATGAGTCAGGACTAAAATCTTATAATCTACACCTTTTTAAAGAAATTTTTGCCCTTTTTGTCATTCTGTACTAAAACTATAGAAAGGGAAGAGTTGAAGCTTAGTGTGGTGGTGCAGGCCTGTACTCCCAGCACTTGGAAGACTAAGGCAAGAGAATCATGGGTTCGAGGCCAGCAAAGTCCTGTCTAAAAAAAGAAAGAAAAAGAAAAGGAAAAAAAAGGGAAGAGTTGCCATGTGTTCAGACAGAACTAGAAGTAATGTTGACTTCTGAGCTGAACTTGGCCCCAGTCAGAATCGTGGCCTTTGGTTCCTCATTATTTAGCCAGTAGGGAAGCTATCACATGCTTGAAATGCATTTTAATGAATGTTTATAAGGTCACAGGAATCACGTTGGTGGCTTTGTCTGGTGATTATGAAAGGGGACTCTGCAGACATTTGTGTGTGGAAATCAGTTCTAAAAACTGACAGAGAACTTTCCCCCACTCCTCCACCAAAGGCAGGACCTGGGAGGGCTATGACTGAGAGGTTTGGCATCTGAGGTCTAGTGTTCTTATCTCTTAACTGACAGTGTGATCAAAAGCTAATCACATCCCTTCTGTTTTCTGTAGAAAGAGAAGGTTGAGATCTGCTTTCTAGAAATCCTGCCAGTGTCACTCCTTCACTCGTTGTCACATGAGAAGGCAGAATCATGTGCGATATGTGACCCAGGAAGTAAGGGCTGGCTGGTAGGTGGGACTGATAAGTTGCTGTCACTGTGACCACAGAGATTTGAAAATGGCAGGTGCATAGAGAAGGAAGGTTTAGAGCAGGTAACATTTGATCTAAGCACATTATATACTGTATGGGGAAATCACAATGAAACCACTTTGTGCAATTTATATATGCTAATAACAAGAAAGGCCTGGGAGCTTTGGTGGGAACACTGAGAAGGGAAATCATTCCAGAGCAGTGAGCTCTCTTGATCTAAAAGAGTGGTGTGGGACTCCATTGAAAACACCTCCTGGGCAGGCAGAACCTCAGCAGCAGCACCCACCAGCCAGCTGACTCACAAAGGTACCATTGTGACAGCAGGCAGAGGCAAAACCCAGCCAACCCCTTGCCATTGATACAAGTAACAAATCACAGAACAGTGAAAGAGGAGGCACTGAAGCGAGCCTTTATCTAGGTGCAAAACTCACTGGGTAACAGATTTCCATGCCTCACCAATGTCTGGTGAAAGCAGATGCTATGAGAGCAAGGCTGAACACCTCCTATAAACACAGTCGCCTTTCCTCAGCCTTGATGTGGTTGGCTGTTGTTCTCATTGTTCAGCCAGGATGCTTCGTGCTATATGGTGAAAGGTCTTACCATTTAATCCAAAACATAGAGTTGCACAGCGTCTAACAGAGTGGAGTCTCATTCAACTGCAATGGAAAGGGAAAGCTCAGAAGGAAGTCTCAGAAGCTTCCCCTCTGCCAACCTAGTTGGGGACCACTAGGGAGACATACTTGGGAGCGACAAGGGGAAACTTCCCCCTCATTAGGCATCCTCCCAAATGTTCCATGCAATGGAACCAAGAGCTGCCCAGCTACAAACTCGGCATAGCGAAAGTGGCACCTGTTCCAACAAATCAGATCCAACCAATGTGAGATAGCCCTTGACACCCCAAGGTCTCCTGGGATTCTCTTTATTACTGAGGAGCCAGCTGGAATTGAGTGGAGACCATACGTATGGATGCAGTTGATGGATGCCAGAAAAGTTGGCTCTTCTATAGGAGAAGCACAGTCCCCTTTCCTTTGCCAGTGGCCCCTAACATTACCTCTCACATCATTCCTCTGAGCCCTGCCTTCCGCCACACACTGCTACTTTAGTCCCAGCAGATTCATGGCAGACCAAAACAATTAATTAAGTGAAAACTCCAGGAGCCCCTGAAATCTGCCAGCAAATTTTACAGGCCCACCTGGCCAGGATTACAGGCTGTTATGATCACAGCCCCATCCTCCCCTTCTTACTCCCACCTCACCCCATCCTTCATCTGTCTAATTATACGTAGATTTCACTATCGTTTAAAACTGTCTTGCAGCAGGGAGGCGATGGCTCACACCTGTAATGCTAGCTACTCAGGAGGCAGAGATCAGGAGGATTGTAGTTCAAAGCCAGCCTGGGCAAATAGTTCATGAGACCCTATCTCGAAAAAAATCCATCACGAAAAAGGACTCGAGATGTAGGCACTGACTTCAAGCCCCAGTACTGCACAAGGACAACAAAACCACTGTCTTGCAGTTCAAGACATTATGAACAGCACATTGGACCCAACCATTGCCAGAAGGGGGATCCTTGCATAAAACCCATACTCTGATTGATCCATTCCATGCATTTCTGCTTTTAACCTATTGGAGTTCTTTGGCAGAATGGAGAAGGAACCAAATATCAGTTTAGGACTCAGTGACTTGCTTGTGGGCTGCTCCGTAATTGATTGAGTGAATGGCTCCCTGTGTGCTGAGTCATCTGTGCTCATTTGTTCATTGATTCCTTTAGTTGCTATTTACTGAGCCCCTGCTGTGGGCCAAATACTCAGTGAGCTGCTCCCTGAACAGCTTGCTGCACCTCACCAGGCTCCTGGGTGGGAAACTGAGCACAGATGACTAGCTAGGCCTCTTCTTGTGCTCTAACAATTCCTGCCTGACTTGGAGTATTCAGGCCCCACATGAATTTGGTAGCAGAGATGCCCCTCAAACTGCCCTTGTTTGAGTCATAGGCATCTCAAAAGGAAAGTCAAGAAAGTATGCACGCTCTCTCACTCAAGGTGGCAAGCTTCTTCTGTGAAGTAGATAAAGATAGTGGGTTGGGAGTCAGCTGAGTGGTTTTATGTAGAGGCCCTGCATGTGGCTTGGGCCTGGTTGCTCTCTAGCTGAGCAACTCCCAGCAAGCTCTACCTCCTCCTTAGGTCTCAGGGTACCCTTCGTTAATGGAGGGGATTGGACTTTCAGGACCCTTCCAGATCTGCTTTAGAAACCACATCAGGTACTTGTTGGTGAGGCCCTTATGGGTACCATCCAATCTGCCTCATTTCACTTAATACAGCAGTAGCAGGAAACAAGACCAGTAATTCTAATCATTTCACAAATGAAAGAAACAGGGCTCCGAGAGGTTAAGCGGGAAGGTCAAGACCTAGTTGTGTCTTCCTGGGGACCAAGGTCTTATGCCATGCTGCCTCCACCCCTACCCTGAACTATCCATTTAGAAGCAGCCATGTAGCTGTGTACAAACTCCTGATGGCTGGGCCCTACCCCAGATGAAACTAAAGCAATCGCTTTCTGATGGGAGGACCTGGGAAATCTGGAAGTTTCTAAGTGATTCTCTTTTGCACCAAGGCCCGAGACATGCAGCTCTGGGGTATCCACTTTGATGTTCACTTGGTATCTTGTTGGCAGGTGAGGGGATATCAGAGAATCAGCACTATATGTCCTGGAAAGCCTTCCAAAGCTTAAAGGGGATTCTTCTATGAAAAAGTGCTTTAAGAGAACACTGTTCACCTGGTGGTGTTCCAGTGATTTCCAAGTCTCTCTTTTCCTATCCTTAGTTTGATCATTCCTTTATGCACTCCTTCCCCTCCCTCCAACCTGCTGACAGGTCCCAGTCATTAACATGACAGAATCACAGATAAGAGTATGAAGCTGGGAACAACTAGGAAACACTGCATTGCTAGCAATTTTGCTTTGTTCCCAAAGGCTCTGCTTTTACACACGGCGGGCAGCTCTCCCAAGATGCCAAGCCCACAGTGGGGCCTTTTCCTGTTGTTTGATATCTCCCCAACCTAAGGATGCATCTGCAGAGAGGAGTGTCTTACTTAAATCACTTTATTACTTGAGTCTTGAAAAATTACAAGTTCTTCTCATTAAAAACAATACAGAAATGTCGAGAAAGGGATTTGCCGGTCACCCCTGAGAGATGACTACTACAAATGGTTAGGTACAGGTTCTTCCAAGTTATTTTTTTACATACATAAGTAATGCACATGTGTACGTGTGTGTAAAAATAAGTGGAATATTGACTACGAAGACTGTTCTGAAACTTGTGCTTTTCCCTAAAAAAATGTGTTGTACACAGCTGCCCCAAAGAACACACTCAGATCCATTTCATTCCTGTGAAGGCTCTGTTGAAACCTACTTTAATCAACACAACCTGATGCACTTAACCAAAACGAGGGAAGCAACATAGAAGTTCAATGTCTATTTTACAGTTTTCCTTTTTCAAAATTGAGTTACCCATAGATAGGTAGGAGTTGCAATTATTCGGCTAGTTCTAGTTTGCTCTCAAATGCCTAACTTTGGAGCAGGTACACTTAGTGATTTCAAGATAATCTTGTTGAAGTCTCCTTTCAGTGGGCAAAGAATACCCTTTGCATGACTTTATGTCTTGTTTTATGTACAGACAGCATATTGCTTGATTTGAAATGTAATGATACTGTTTCAATGTAACACAGCAACAAACAACCAAGCACTATGGCTCTAAAAATAGGCTGTATTTTATAGTTTTGATAATGATAAGTCTTTAACTAAGAAGTCTGTTTTATCTTGCAAGTTTCCTGCTCATTAGCTTTAATGTGCCACATCTTTTTTTAAAAAAACCTCTCTCTCTCTCTCTCTCTCTCTCTCTCTCTCTCTCTCTCTCTCTCTTTCTCCCTCCTTCCTCCTCCTTCTCCTCCTTCCCCTTCTCCTTTCTCCCTCTGTGCCACAGGGAACAGTAAAGAGAAGACAGGAAGGAGAAAACTACCAGTTTCCAGGCATGGCTGATGGAGGTTACCCTAATAAAATTAAGAGGCCCTGCCTTGAAGATGTCACCCTTTCTATGGGCCCAGGTGCCCATCCCAGTACCCTTGGTGCAGAGCTGCAGGTTCCCCCATTGACAATGAATCCTAGCTCTGCAGCCATGGGCATAGCTGGCCAGTCACTGCTACTTGAGAACAATCCCATGGAGAATAATCTCATGAATGGCGGTGTTATGGGCTCACCATTCAGGGTGTCACCAACTGCAGAAATGGGGCTGAAAGGGCCCACTGTTCCTTACTATGAGAAAATCAACAGCATGTCAGCTGTAGATCAGGAACTTCAAGATCTGCTGGAGGAGCTAACCAAAATTCAAGAACCTTCTTCAAATGACCTCGATCTTGAGAAGATCCTGGGGAGCAAGCCAGAAGAGCCACTGGTGTTACATCATCCCCAGGAACCCCTGGGTACCCCTCCCAAGCTTCCAGTTCAGATGCCACCCATGGAGAGCCTTGGTTCTGGCAAGGAGTTTGCTTCTAGTTGCAGCCAAGTCACCGGCACATCACTTCCAATCCTGCCCGCCTCCACAGGGATAAGCTATTCGATTCCTTCTACCAGTAAGCAGATGGTCTCCCCCAGTTCTTCGATGGCCCAGGCCCAGGCCAAGAACCAAGTCCAGGGCATGCTTCCTGTCACTTTGCCCCCATTACCAGTGCCTCAGTGGCATCATGCCCACCAGCTGAAAGCACTGGCAGCCAGCAAGCAGGGATCTGCTACTACTAAGCAGCAAGGGTCGAACCGCACTTGGTCTAGCCTGCCTCCTCCAGGTCTTTCCCCACCCTACCTCCCTGTGCCATCGCCACACCCACCACCACCACCACCACCGCCGCCACCATTCAGCCCTCAGAACTTTACGGCATCCTGCATGTCGTCCAACAGCTTGTCGGGCAGCACGCTGCAAGGCTCGCCCAATGCCTTACTCTCTAGCATGGCACCCAGTAGCAATGCCACCCTTGGGCCCACCATGCCCTATGCTCCTGCGAAGCTCCCTGGCCTGGCTCTCAATCAGCAGCCACAGTTCAGCCCCCAGAGCTCTATTCTTGCCAACCTGGTGTCCTCTAGCATCAAAAGCCCTCAGGGGCACCTGATGTCTGCTCTGCCCACCAGCAACCCTGGGCCATCCCCTCCCTATCGTCCAGAGAAGCTCTCCAGCCCAGGCTTGCCGCAGCAGTCCTTCACTCCACAGTACTCTCTGATCCGAAGCCTCACTCCCACCAGCAATCTGCTAAGCCAGCAGCAGCCACAGCCACAGCAGCAGCCACCACCGCCTCCGCCACCACAGCCACAGCAGCAGCAGCAGCAGCAAGCAAACAGCATCTTTAAACCCATGACCAGCAACCAGCAACCCAAAACCCTGAGCATGATCATGCAACAGGGGCTGATGAGCTCCAGCCCAGAAGCTCCTGAGCCATTTACCTTTGGCAACACCAAGCCCTTGTCCCACTTTGTGTCAGAGCCAGGCCCCCAGAAGATGCCCTCCATGCCTGCTACCTCCAGGCAGCCGTCCCTGCTCCATTACCTGCCTCCAGCTGCCCCAGCGCAGGTCTCTTCTGCCACTGCCTCCTCCACCGCCACTGCCACCTTGCAGCTGCAGCAGCCACCGCAGCCTGACCATCCCTCATTCCTCCTGCAGCAGGTGATGCAGCAGCCCCAGCGCTTTCAGAGGTCAGTGGCCCAGGATTCCATGCCTGCTCTGCCCAGACAGGTAAGGCAGCCTCATATCTGGTGGTGCTCTTGTCTAAAAAATAATAACTATGTTTTGTGCTATTGATATCTGGCTTTGGAGGGCAAATCCAGGTTATCATCCTCCCTGAGACGAGACTTAACTCTGCAGAAGTCTATATAAGTCAGCCAATTCTGCATAAGGTTAATGCACCGTGTCCGTGCAGCTAAAGTGCTGGTTCACCTAAGTCCCCTGGGAGAAAAGCTGCACCCACCACAAGCTTCCCAGGGGAAGGAGCCAGGGAGGGCAAGTCTGAGTTGTACAGATGTACTAATCTTCCCTGGACTGGGCCATGAACCAGCACTCACGAAAGCTTTGGGGCCATTCAGGGAAATTGAACTGAAGCATTTGGGTCTTGCCCTGCTAGTATAAGTATGAATATGGAAATTTCTGAAAATGCCCAACAAGATTTTGCTGAGCAATTTCAGTGTGCCATTCATTGCTGTGATGTGCATGGCAAGGCAAGACAAGACCTGGAAGGAAAAACACAGGCATGTGTAAGGTAGTCACTCTTATTGTCTCCATTTTACAAGGGAAGAAACTGAGGCTCAGAGAGTTGTGATGACTTGCCCAGAGTCACACAGTGAGCAAGGGGCAGAGCAGGAACTTAAAACCAGGAAGTCATCTTGCCCCAGAGCCTGTGCTCTGCTTGAAATTACTTTTGACTTCTGCCCCTCCCCCATCACCTACACTCCTTTGAATCATTAAATGCTGCTGATTCTCCTGGCTGATGTCTGTCACAGCCCTCACTTTTCATTGCTCTGATCTTTCTTTCCCTTTGGTGTGCTGATTTGATGTCCTTTGGATATATACCTAGAAGTGGAATAGCTGGATCATCTGGTAGATTTCAGTGGATTTTAAAATTTTTATTAGCATAAATTAATTATACAAAGGGGTTTAATTGTGATATTTACATCTATGTGTATAATGTGCTCTGATCAAATGTTCTGATCTTTGCCTGTATTAGTTATCTATCTTTGTGTGAAATCATACAGTTGACCCTTAACAAGCCCCCTGCAACAAAAAAAGCATCCATTGATCTAAGAGTTGTCTTACTAAAACAGTGACCTGATGGTGTTTCCCACTTGCTCAGAAGTCCCCGGAGGGACTTAGCCTGACCTCACCAACCTCCTTAGACTCAGCACCTGTGGGATCCTGCTTTACACTTTATTTCTGTAACTCAGAAGAACTTGCAGTTCATGGCCCGCTCTGCACGGTCTTAGCCTTTATCCCCACTGTTCCCTACACCTGACTTTCCCCTTCTTTTCTCTCCTGTCCTATTCCTGCAGCTCCTTAAAGCTCAGGTGACATCTCCCCCAAGAAACATTCTCCTGACTGTCCTCCAACCCACACTTCCCACTGTGCATCCCTCTTCTGTAAATCCGTCGAGGATGTCTGTAAAGTGCTTGGTCAGGGACCTGGCTCAAGAGAAGCACCTTTCAGGGGCTGACCTCTTATTCGAGAGCATTCATGGCAGCTCCCAACAATAGAGACTTTTTCCATCCAGGTTTCATGGAGCCTAACTAAGCAGCCTGACCTGCTTGACACCAGGGAATTGGCCATTTGATAGATGTGTGCAGCAGACAGAGCCCCCAAGGGGGTGACCAGGGTGAATAGCAGCAGGCAGGACAGTGCGGCCGCCTGGGGGCTCTGGTCCTTGTTCAGGAGCACTGTGGTTTGGTTTCATTATAGCACCTTTGCCATCTGTTTGTAAGGACTTCTGCAGTCAGTAATGACCTGTAACCATGGGCCAGGCCTGGGACTCAGTGCTTCACTAGCTTCTTCTCACACTAACTAACCCTCAGAGGTAGGGGCTGCTATCATCCCCTTCATGTTGAAAAGAAAGGCACAGAGAAGTCACCAGAGTGGCTCACAGTCACACAGCAAATCACACAAAAGAGAATTTGACTGCAGAGCTCACACTCATACTCTTGTGTATGAGGCACCACCTCTGGAATGTTCGAGTCCTATCTTCACCTCTTACCTGTTTCCTCTATAATGGCATGATGAGAGGTCATTTGAGGATTTACTGTGTTAAGACATCTAAAGCACTTTGAACAGGGTCTGGCAAAAGGGGGTTTTCTATCACTAACTCCTGACCCTGAGCCCTCAGATGGGTTTTCCAGGTCTAAACTGTGGTTCTCAAAACCAGGAGCTGCGTCAGAACATAAAGTGAGCAGCACTCCCTCCAGCCCAGTGCCTGCCATGAGATTGACAGGAGTACTGGGACTTGCACCACTTGTGTGCTCTTCCTGTTCTAGGCCCTGCCCCTCTTGAGCAGCTCCAGGCCCGCTGGAAAAGGGAAAAGGGCCATGATCACCTTGCAAGCTGGGACAACGCCCCTCACCATCACCACCCACAGTTCTCTCGTGCTCTGGCTCCCCCTCTCTCTTGCACTCTGTTCTCCACATGACATTCTTCCAGCCAAAATGCACCAGAAGCCCCCTGTTCCTTCTCATGGCCCACTGCCAGTAATTTTAAGGCCTAAGAACTCAGTTCTGGTCACCCTTCCAGGGGAGACCAGGAAGAAAAAGGAGAATGTTTGAGGCAAGCTCTGGTGCCCCTGTGAAGAGCAGATGGCAGCCCCAGAGATGCTGCTTCTCCCTCCCAGCAGCAGGTAAACAAACTTCCCAGGTTTCACCGAAGGCCACACTGAGCTTCCAAAAACACTCATCACCTAATGACAGGGCGTTCATTAGCTCGTGGCACTTCTCCTGGATCATAGTGGTTGCCATGGAAAGCCCGGAGACTCATGCGAATCTGGATCTTAGTCTTTAAAAGAACTGTTTTTTAAATGTAAGATGAGACACAAACTCTTGAGTAAGCAGAAATGTCAACCCCAGCTGTCTATAGGAGCTCATTCTTCTGTGCAGGCCAGTTTTCCTCAACTTGGGGGATTTCACCTCACCAGGTGAGTGGACGACCCCATTTTAATGGGTCATTCATTTCTACTCAAGGTAAAAGGCAAATGTCATCTTGCTTCAGGGAAGCAGCTCAGTGTGGCAGGTAAAGCATGGGCACTGGAGGCAGACAGAGCTGAGGTTCCAGTGTGCTGGGTGACACTGACCAAGTCGGTGGCATAAGCAATGTTTAAAGACAGGTGAAGGAGCATAGAGCATTAAGAAGACAAAGGAGGTGTGGTTGCTCACAGCAGTGCCTGGCACACACTCAGCCACGATCAGTGCAGGCTTGGGGCCTTAGATTCTGAAACCCCTGTGGCCACATGAGGTTCCAATGAAGAACACTGGGGACTTGAGAAGTGTAGTATGGTACAAATAGCAAATATCACACAACCCTCCAGGGGAATCTGGGGCAGCATTTTATTTTTGCACAGAAATGCAAATATTTAAGTCCAGGTCAAATTTTGCCCCCAAATAAAATTTGGCACCAAATTTATAGAAAATAAAATAGACTTTCAGAGGTTCTTGGACTTCATGTTGCGGTAAGGAATATGCATACGGAATCATTAAGGGAAGGATGTATAACTCTCCTCCAACACTCAGTCCTACTTTGCTCAATTTTTATTAGCATATATTAATTGCAGAAAGCAGTGGGTTTCATTATGACATTTTTCATACGTGTATATAATGTACTTTGATCTTATTGATCCCCTCATTACCCTCACTATTCCCCCTTCCCAGGTCCCCTTCCTTTTCTCTAATAACCCCCTTCTATATCTCTGATTATTTTTTACATTCTACATATGAGAGAAAACATGAGATATTTGTCTCTCTGAGTCTGGCTTATTTCGCTTAACATGATGATCTATAGTTCCATCCCATTTTCCTGCATGCAACATAATTTCTCTCTGCTCTATGATTGAATAATATTCCATTGTAAATAGATGATAGATAGATAGATGATGAATGGATAGATTGATAGATCACATTATCCATTCATCTGTTGATGGACTTCTAGGCTGATTCCATAGCGTGGCTATTGTGAACAGTGCTGCAGTAAACACGGGCATGCAGGTGTCTCTGTTGTACCCTGATTTACATTCCTTCAGATACATGTCCAGGAATGGTATTGCTGGATCATATGGCTGTTCTATTTTTAGTTTTTGGAGTAACCTCCATACTGATTTCCACAGTGGCTACCCTAATTTACCTTCCCATTGACAGGGCATAATGATTTCTTTTCCACCTCTCCTTATCAGCATGTGCTGTTGTTTTCTTGGTGATAGCCATTCTGACCAGGTTAAGATAGAAACTCAGTGTAGATTTTCTGTTTGTTTTTTGTTTTCTTTGACGGTAGTGGGGTTTGAACTCAGGACTTTGCACTTGATAGGCAGGTGCAGTCCTTTTTGCTCTGGTTATTTTGGAGATAGGGTCTCACGTTTTGCCCAGGCAAGCCTGGATCACAGTCCTCCTATTTAATGTTTCCTTCCGTCACTGAGATGACAGGTGTGTGCCACCACATTTTTCCCCTTGAGAGGGGGGGTCTCACAAACTTTTTTGCCCGGGCCCATCTGGAACAATGATCCTCCCAATCTTAGCCTCCCAAGTAGCTAGGATTACAGACATGAACCACCAGCTCCTGGCTCAGTGTAGTTTTGACTTGAATTTTCCTGGTTGCTAAAGTGTCTGTTCAATTCTTTTGCTCCTTTATTGATCAGGTTATTTGTTCTTTTAATGTCTAACATTCTGAGTTCTTTACATGTTCTGGACATTAATCCCATGTCAGAGGAACAGCTGGCAAAGATTTTGTCTCATTCCATAGGCTGACTCTTCACCCTGTTAATTGTTTCCTGGGGTGTATAGAAGCCTTTTAATTTGATGCAGTTCCATTTGCCAATTGTTAGATTTTGATGACCCCAAATAACTCATTGTATTTCCCCACCTTACCCTCAGATTGGTTGACATAGCTCAGTTTTTAATCAAAATGAGGTAAAATGAATTTTGTTCCCATGATTTGGTGCCCCTTTGGCCCAAGGACTATAAGAAATGCCTTAGTGTGTTACAAAAATCAGGGTTAGGACT